ATAAAAAAATAGAGTTATGGAATGATAAAATAAGCCCAAAAAACCCGCTGAGATGGCATCCTAAGGACCTAAGCATAGAGGCATCCACAATGATCCATTCATGAGGCATAAAACACCAACTCTTCAAGGCATTGAAAGCATGACAAAGGTAAGTGTATGACCATGAAACATGCACTGAAATAACACTTCAAATGATTCCAACGCATGCAAACATCACAAGTATAGCATGGTAGGGGCCTCAAAACTCAAGACTAGTCAAAGCATTTACGCTATAGCTATACAAAACATGAGGGATATGACTATGGCAGCCCAAAACAGTCCTAAGAAAGCTCAAAATATGAATAAAATAATGCTGGAGCATAGCCAAAATATGTTAAAATGATGAGCCAAAGCCTCATGCACACAGGGCTAGTAAGCAAGATTTGCACTACAAGTACATGGAGCATGCAAGAGGTGAGCAAAACAACTTTAAACAGAGTTATGACATGTCAAATGATGGCCAAAAACCTACTGAAATGAAGCCAATACATGCTAGAAAGACATGCTACTTTGATTAGCCACAAATGGAATTACACTACACATACAAGAAGCATGCACAAGGTGACCAAAGCAGCCATGGACAGACTTAAGGAAGGTCCTAAAAGTCACAAAAAAGTGCCTGAACTAAGCCTCAAAAGTATAGGGATACATGCTCCTTTGATAGGCCAATAACTCAAGCAAAAAAAACAAAAAGGGAGGGGGTCACCCCCCTCTGATTTGAGGCCTCAAAACAACATGCCTACCATTGAAAATCCACTGGATTTCAGTGGCTAAAAGGCCAAACAAAGACCAACTCAAAGGCCTTAAGGCATGGTACAAAACAAGGCCAAACAAGGCAAACAAGAGGATAGAACACCCTTAACACCAAAGAGACCTTAAACAATCATCAAAAGCACTTAAATACAGAACTTTTTTTAGTTGAAAGCAAGGCCTAAAACAATATGAAAGGATGGCCAAAATGAGATACAAAAAAAAGGCTTAAATGGGGAATACACTCACCCTTGAAGTTCAACTTCGAAACCAGCAACCTCAGAGGCTAGAAACCAACTTTCAGAGCTCAAATAACACTCCTAAGAACCTCAGCCCAAAGGTGGTGGTGTATCACTCTGTTTTGTAGTGCAAAAGTGAGAAAAAATGGACTTTAAGGCATAAAACCAACAACAATATAGAGAGAGAGTGAGGAATATATATATAGAGAGAGAGATAACTTCTCTAAAATGGCTGAACCTTTGTAAGGGAGGAACGACTTCTCCTTATATAGAGGAATGCCAAGCAAAGCTTGTCAAACAAGCTTGGAAGAGCCTCATCCCTCCATACACGTGTATGGAGGGAAGATGAGTGAAAACCAGCTGGCTCAAAAGATCTGGAGTGAAATCTGCTGAGACAAAGGGTTCTGCCGGCCATCAGTTGTGGCCGGCAGTGGCTCACTGATGGCCGGCAGGCATTATCAGTAACTGGCAGGGAAAAAATCAAGACCGGAAGTACCAAAAGGTGGCCGACAGTGCACCATAAGGATCAAGCTGAAAGGACCAACACATGGTCCAAAAATGGGGCAGAAAGGATGCAGGGTTTGGAAAGCTCAAACTTGTGACGTTCCGCCGCGAAAGTCGAGTACTCGACTAGCAATCGAACTTGTGACTGGATGTACTTGCAAGCACAACCAAGTCTTGAGGACGGTCAAAAATGGGGTGTCTACAACAAGAAGGGGCACAGCAGTGTATTTGCAAGGTATATGTGCACAACCACGCGCCCTAACATTTCTTAAGCTCAAGGGAGTGCGGTTCTCAACTCTCGAGCCGCCAACCGAGCATTGCAATGCAAGATGGCCGAGAAGCCAAGTTTGCACAATTCAATGTCAATGAATGCACAAATAACACATAAGGACCTTAAAGTCTATCATGCATGATCAAGAGTGTCAGCGACCGAGAAATGAGGCACGTTTCGTCACTTCAAGTATGAAACGCCCCTCGTTTCTCGTGTTTGGATTAACACCCGATCCAAACACAATGCAATGCAACAACATGCGAGTACAATGTAATGCAACAACATGCAAACACAATGTAATATAGCAACATGCAAACAACATGCTTTTCTATAAGTGCTAGAATGGCATGCACAATATTCTACCATGCAAACAATGCATGCATGGCAAGTTTAGAAGCTTAAGGCATCAAAGCTAGGAAAGACCATCTCACAAGAGGCATGCAAAACAATGCTCAATGGACTTAAGCCGAATATGGACAGACCTAAATCATGCCAAAACAGTGGCCAACACACCAAAACCTAGGCATAAAAGGGCAAGATAAGCATGCTCATGCGTTGACCCATGAACAAAGCATAAGAGCACAACTCTCAAACATGATCAAGAAGTGACAAACATGGAAGTGTGACAACACTATACGCACTGAAATATCATATGAAATGATGTCATGGCAAACAAACATCTCAAGTATGTCATACTATGGTGCTCAAAACTCAAGGCTAGCAAGGCCAATTGCACTACAGCTATGCAATACATGAACCACATGGCCAAGACAACTCAAAACAGTCCTAGAGGATGTCAAATCAAGGCTAAAACATGCATGGAGTGTAGCCAAAACAAGATAGGATGAAGGACATGAAGCATGGAGTATGTAAGGCTAATAAGGAGGATTACACTACACCTACCAAAACCAAGCATGAGATGACTTCACCAACAAAAATCAGAGTTGGATCATGGCAAAATAGGACCAAATACACACTAAAATGGTGGCCCAAAAAGCTAGGCAAGATGGCATATATATTGGCTCATACTTAAGGCATAAAGCACCAACCCTCCAAAGTATTGAAAGAATGAAGCATGAGAGAGTATGACCACAATACATGCACTAAAATCACATATCAAATGATGCTAAATCATGCAAATAGCCCAAGCAATGCATGCTAGTGACTTGAATACTCAAGGCTAGTGAGCTAGAATGCACTATGACTATACAAAGTAAGGCATGCATGACCAAAACAACATAAAACAGAGCTTAAGCATGGTAAAACATGAGTAAAAGCTTGCTGGAGTTTAGCCAAAAACATGTTAGAATGATGGTCCAAAGCATGATGCATGTTAAGCTAGTTTAGTGGAATCGCACTACAAGTACAAGGAGCATGCAAGGGGCTATCAAACCAACCCAAAACAGAGTTATACCATGTCAAAAAAACACCAAAAACATGCTGAGATAGAACCAAAACATGCTAGAAAGGCATGCTACTTTGAAAAGCTTCAAGCAGGATTAAACCACACCTACAAGAAGCATGCAAGGGGTGACCAAAACAACCAAAAACAGAGTCATGGAAGGTCTAAAAGGTCACAAAAAAGTGCTCAAACAAAGCTTCAAGAAGATAGAGCTACATGTTCCTTGGATGAACCACCAACACAAACAAACAAGAGAAGAGGAGGGGGGACAAACCCCTCCTATTTGAGACCTCAAAACGCACTTTCCACCACTGAAATTCCTTTGGAATTTAGCAGTAGAAAGGTCATGCAAAGGTGATCACAAAGGCCTAAAGTGATGGCCCAAAACAAGGCAAAACAAGGCACAAAAGGGGGTAGACCACCCCCAACACCAAAGAGACCTTAAACAAACATTTCAAGCACTTCAAATCAGAACTTTTGCAGTAGAAAGTCAAGGCAAAATAAGAATGCAAGGGTAGTCTAGTAAGCAACTACAACAAGGCTTTAAGAGGATTAGAGACTCACCCTTGAAGAATCAAAACAAGACAACAACTTCTGAGGCAAAAACCAAGCCTTGAGCTCCAAACAAACCTCCAAGAACCTCAGTCCGAGATTGAAGGTGTTTCACTATGTGTTTGTGTGCAAAAGTGTGAAGAAAAGGCACTTTCAAGCACAAATATGAAGCAAAGGAGCAATATAGAGATAGATGATATATGTATATGCCCTAAGCAATTTTTCTCAACCTGAGACAAGAGGGAGGAGGCTTCCTTTTATAGAAAAACATGCATCAAGCTTGTTGAGCAAGCTTGAAGCTTGAATCAATCCCTCCATACACGTGTATGGAGGATACTTTCTGTGCCCAACAGTTGGCACAGCTGGCATGGAAAATATTTACAAAAAGTGCAGAAAAGCTGCCGACCAGTTGAAGTGGTCGGCCAGCTACTTGCACTAGTCGGCCGACCAGAAAAAGTGGTTTGCAAGGAGACCAAGTGGTCGGCAAGAGGGAGAGGTGGTCTGCACAAAGAAAGCAAGGTGGTGGCATGGCTGCCGACCACTTTAGGTGGTCCAAAGACCACTAAGACCAGCTGGCCGACCAGAAAATTAGCTGGCAGGGAAGAAAAGTGGTCTTCAGGGAGAGAAACTGGTCTACAACCCTTATTCCACCCTCCAAGCAAGGAAAACAAGGTTTGTGCCAAAAACAAACCAAAAAGGAAGCAAGACAAAAGTTCGCGGGACAAGGCACGCAGCTGGGAGCCTCAAAAACTAGTCTACGGGCGCAGAAAGTGGTCTATGAGAGGAAAAGGTGGTCTACGGCCACAAAAAGTGGTCTACAGACCTCTGTTTCCTTCTAGACCAAGGCAACAAGGCATGGTCCAAAAACCAAGCCAAGAGGAGAACGCTAAGAGGTTCCGAGACAAGGCGCTCAGCCAAAGGCTCCGGAAACCGGAAACTAGCCTACAAGAGGGAAAAGTAGTCTACGACCACAAAAAGTGGTCTACAGACCTCTCTCTCCCTCCAGGCAAGGGTAACAAGGCATGGTCTACAAACCAAGCCAAAACACAAAGAGTTCAGAGGCCTGGAGGCAAGGCACTCAGCCGAAAACTCCAGAAACTCGAAACGAGCACAAACATGCACAATCATCAAGCGCTCAAACGATGACGTATGAGTCTTAAGGTCGGTCAAAATGAGGTGTCTACAAAAGGGCTTCATCGAGCCTGTCTACAAAAATTGTGGCTTGGTCATCGATAGCTATAGGATGCACTACAACATATATTATGCTTTAAAGGAGTTTTTGAATATACCAGTGTGTATTAGGGATTCAGATACTCTTGTTACTCTATTTAATTTATGCTTCCTCAAATTTGGTGAGGCTATTGTTGATATGAGGTTTGAACGGTTTTTCAACCACGATTATTTCAGAGTTGTTTACTTAGGAAGGTGGCAGAACTCAATCACACATCACATTGAAGTCACATACCTCAAAATTCTCAATGGACTCAAGAATATGAAACAATTGAGGTTTCTTAGCCTTCGAGGAATTTCTTTGATTACAGAACTTCCTCAGTTTATTTCACAACTAACTAATCTTGTGATTCTTGATCTCAAAGCGTGTCACAATCTTGAAGTGGTTCCAGATTGGATTGGCTTGCTTAAGAGTTTGACACACTTGGACATATCTGAGTGTTACCTTTTAGATCACATGCCCAAGGGGCTTGGTGAACTATCTGAACTCCAAGTCCTTAAGGGATTTATTAGTGGAGATTCCCAAGACAAAAAGTCTTGTACTATCAATGATTTGACAAAATTGCCAAAGCTGTGAAAATTGAGCATATTCATGAGTATGAAAGAATTTCCAACAGATCTGCAACTTCGTTAGTTACAAATATTAAAATCCCTACAAAAGTTGAAAATATCTTGGTCAGGATGCGTTTTACGAGGTAAAACTAATAATTCACCAAAGCAAGCACAACTATTTGTCAAGCGGACAAGATCATTCACTGAACATGATCCAGAATTCCTCTCTCATTGGAACCTCCTTTATCGTTGCAAAAACTGGAGCTGGAGTGTTTTCCTAAGATAGATACACCCAGTTGGTTAAGGTCTGTCAATTTGAAGAACTTAAAGAAACTTTACATCAGAGGAGGACTATTGTGTAATCTAGACGAGATAGTAGCTACCACGGTTGAAATATTACAATTGAAGTACTTAAGTAACTTAGAGATGCCTTGGAAAGATATTATGATGTTATTTCCCAATTTTATTTACTTGGAGAAAGTAGAATGTCCCCGCCTCAATTCCTTCCCATGTGATCAGAATGGTGTTTGGATGAGGAAAGACAATGGCATCGATGAGAAATGTGGTGGAAGAAGCTGCTGAGGGTGTAAGGGAGACTTCTTTCTATTGTCTTCCCTTTCTACTCCTAGGCTGGCAAATTAATGTCTTGAGAGATAGTATAGTAATTTCCCTCTCATAAAAAACTAGTTGTACGTATTTATTTATTGAATCAAATGCATACGTCTTCAAGGTCATTCATCAAGGCTTCTTTACAAGTTTTCAATAAAGTTGCATTTGGGTAAGGCAGAGCATGTCTTTACTGGAATTAAAAAAAGAAAAATAATAATAATAAAAAATCAAAGTTTGAATTTTGTAAAAAAAATAAATTTTAGTTTTTAATTTTATCAATTTAAATTTAAATTTTTTGATTTGTTTTCAATCTAAATCATCCACCTATTTCCTTTTAAGTAAAATTGATAGAAAATAATATTGTAGTCATTAAACTCAATGTAATTTTGTAGAAAATATCTAAAATATCCGTTTTTATTGAATTTAATAAGGAAAAATTGGTCTATGGTCCCTCCCCAACTTTTGATAGGAGGAGAGGTCCACAATAATATGTTTTGATGGCTAAGGTCCCTCAACCTTATTTTAGGTTATAAAATACCTAATTTACCCTTCTTTATAACATAAGTTTTTTGGATTTTGGCAAACTGAATATTCTATTGCTGACTTCACGGTGGAGATTTTGGAAACTGACTTCGCGATGGAGATTTCGTAAGGATTTTGCAAGTGTTGCAGTGGACTTGACAATAGAGATTGCTACAATCGTGTAGGTGTTACAGTGTGTTGATCGCATAGGTTTTTCAGTGGAGTTGAATCAGATATCTTTTTGATGGAGATTCCACATGGATTTTGATTTTTGTTTTGAATTTTATGTAAGGATTCGGATTTCATATTAGTTTTTCGAATGTATTTTTTCATTAGGTTTTTGTTTTCAGTTTTGATCAATTTAAAAGAGAGGCTAGCTCAGTGAAGTTGTTTATGATTTTTGGAGTTGATTTTTCATTCTCTGTTATTGATCAATTTTAGACAGAGGCTAGCTTGATAGAGTTGATTTTTATTTTTGGAATTAATTTTTCATTCTCTGTTTTTTGATCAATTTCAAAGAGCATTGACAGTGTAGTTGATTTTAATGTTTAGAGTTCATTTTTCGTGCTCTGTTTTTCATCAACATGCTGATCAATGATAAGTTTTATTCTCTCGTTTTTCAAACCAGAGAAATTTTTTTAAACCAAAGAAATTTCATTCTCAGCACTTTTGTTGGTATAGTCTAGAGAAAATTGTAAGTTTGTTATTATAATCCAACGAAAATCACAGAGAAAATTATAAGTTCATATGGACATATTATTTGAAGTTTCTAATGCAGATAGAATATGAGAAAGTGAATGTAAGTTCTTAAATTTCTCTGGACTTTTATTTGTAATTCAGAGAAAATTATAAGTTTGTTATTCACTTTCAGTTTGTAGTTCAGAGAAAATTATAAGTTTGTAGAAAGTGAATATAAGTTTTTGTTTCGTTAAGCCAAAGTTTTTTTTTTTTATTTTTTCTTTCAGTTTAGATGGACAGTGTAGTATTTTTTGTTATCTTGAAGGTGTATATAAGTTTGTAAATTTCTCTGGATTTTGATATGAGTGCAATATTGCAGAATAACGCAGAGAAAATTGCAAGCTTGTAGTTTAGTGAAAATCACAAAGAAGCTTATAATTTCATAACAAATCTTCTGTGCGATTTTTGTCTATGAATGTGTTTAATAGTTAGTAGTAAATTTCTCTGTGATTCTCTCTAGATTCATTAAGTTTTTTATGATTTTGTTTTTGTTATCTTGAAGGTGAATATAAGTTTGTAAATGTCTCTAGAATTTATTTGAGTCCAGAGAAAATTATAAGCCTGTTATTATAATCCAGAGAAAATTATAATTATTAGAAATTTCTCTGGACTTTTATGTTGTTCTTGTGAAGTGTTTTTATGTTGAACAAATTATTTTTCTTGTTTTTTCTTTTAGTTTTGATGGACAGTGCAGTGTTGTTGCTGTGCAAATATGGGAATGATACTATTGTCATTAATGTTTCATGAGAATTGAATTTTGAGGAATTTGTTGGCATTTTGTGTAAAACATGGGAGAATTTGAAACCTCAGACTATGTGTATTTCATATTCTATTGTGTACCATCCAAATTGTATGGTTCAAAATAATATTGATTTTCTAAATATGTTGAGGATTGTTTGTGCACATGTTGGTGATATAGTTGATGTTTCAGTTACTAGATGTAGTACTTTTGATCAAGAGGATGAAGTGAGGTCTAATTGGGTAGATTTTGTGCATGGTGAATGTGATAGGCTGGTGGATATTGAAAGAAATTCACTCTCTAAGTTTTGTTCTCACCAAGAAAATATGTTATTGTCAGTTGGTTGGCGAAATAATATCACGAGTGTTGGACAAAAGTTTGAGGGTGGTGTGGTTGAGTTCCGTATTGTTTTATGCCAGTATGCTATTAAGGTTGGTTTTTAGTTTACGTATGTTAAAAATGACAAGCTGAGGGTTACTGCAGAATGTGCATATAAGGAATCAAGGGGATGTATGTGGCGTGGAGATGCTTCAGTTGAAAAAATAAATGGGTTCTTTTACATAAGAACTTTGAACAACGAACATACGTGTGGTGTGACAGTTCGTACTAGTAAACATGCTAGGATGACTTCCAGCTTAGTTTCTGGGCTGATACTTGAAGAGGTAAGTGCAAAACCTTTAACTCGTCTAGTGGATGTTGTCAAAGAAATGAAAGACAAGTATGGGGTCTCAATCAGTTATAACTGTGGTTGGTTGGGGGTTGAAAAAGAAAAATGTAGTACATATGGGGATTCTTGTTTGTCATTTGATCAATTACGGTGGTATTTTGATGAGGCATTAAAGAACAATCCAGATAGTCGTTTTGAGTTAGATTTTGAAGATAACAAGCGTTTCAAAAGAGTGTTTGTGGCTTTTCATGCATGCGTTGCTGGTTTCAAATATTGTCGGTCATTGTTGTTTCTTGATGGAACATTTTTAAAAGGACGATACAAAGAAGTTGTGCTTGCTGCGACGAGAAAAGATGGGAATGAAGGTAATTGTACATATATCTTATTTTATCCAAGTATGTGAATTTTCTATACATGTAGGAATTGAGTGAATGTGATTTTTCTCTGACACTTTGAATTTTCTCTAGGTTTGGCCACTGTGTGAATTTTCTCTGGTTGTGGCCACTGTGCGAATTTTCTCTGGATTTTGGTCAGTGTGTGAATTTTCTCTAGATGTTGTCATTGTGTCAATTTTATCTATATTTGGCCAATAAGTGAATTTTCTCTGGATATTGTCACTAAGTAAATTTTCTCTGGATGTTGCCAATGTGTGAATTTTATCTGTAGTTGGTCGCTAAGTGAATTTTCTCTGGATATTGTCATTGTGTGAATTTTCTCTGTAGTTGGTCACTAAGTCAATTTTCTTTGGATGTTGCCAATGTGTGAGTTTTCTCTGGAGTTGGTCACTAAGTGAATTTTCTCTGGAAGTTGCCATTGTATGAATTTTCTCTGGATGTTGGCAGTGTCAAATTTCTCTGGTTATTTATTGTTCTTGTTAGACTTATTTATTTTGATGATTTACTTAATTATGTTTTAATTTATTTGGAAGAGAAAAATAGAATCAAAATTTATTTTGATGATTTATTTAAAAGAAAAAATAGAATCAACATTTATTTTGATGATTTATTTAATTATGTTTTAAATCCAAAATTTATTTTGATGATTTATTTAATCATGTTTTAATTTATTTGAAAGAGAAAATAGAATCAAAATTTATTTTGTCACATTATTTCTTACCTAAAACTTTTATCCTAAATGTTGTTAGAATGTATTTAATATTTGATTAAACCAGAGGTTCAAACAGCCCAAAGCAAAGGTTCAAACAGCCCAGCACAGCAGCAGGCTAGAAGGTTCAAACAGCCAAGCACAGCAGCGGGCTAAAAGGTTCAAGTAGAAGATATTCAAATTAGTAATGATGGAGTGGAAGATATTCAAATTAGTAATGATGGAGTGGAAGATATTCAAATGAATACAACGGCTATAAACGGCTATAAATTCAAATGAATGTAACGGCTATAAACTCAAATGAATACAACAGCTATAAACTCAAATGAATACAATGGCTATAAACAGTTATAAGTTTCATTATATATACCAATGCCTCTAATGTAAAAAAAAAAAAAAGAGAGAAAAAAAAAAAAAGAAAATATTCTTTGATCTATAATCACTCACATCTATTCTTTGAAAAATTCTCTAAGAAGTGTGCTTCAATTTTTGTTTACATCATTTTTTAGAAATTATACACTGAGACATATAGCTTTAAGCCCATCTTTCCTGTGTAAAGATTACAGAAAAATTAGAGTCTCATTTTTATATCTATCTTTGAGAGATAATTCTTGTAGCTTTCTGTGAAAGCAAAAACACCTTCTTT